TTTCTGGAGCAGAAGCTGTGAAATTAGACCATGGCTCTTGTTTACTGAGGTTGGTAAAGCACTAGGCTGAAGAAGTAAGAGGAGATAGAGGTTGGGGAAAAAGAATTGGCCAACCACAGATTGTCTAATCTGACAGAAAAAGCAGAGGTTCAGATGAAAGTCGATAAAATAATAATAGCAACACCACATAATTTTTTTTGAGTGCTATCTACCAACTGCAAAAATAAAGTGATTGGGCTTCCCTGGTGGCGCAGTGGTTGAGAGTCCACGTGCCGATGCAGGGGACATGGGTTCGTGCCCCGGTCCGGGAAGATCCCACATGCCGCGGCGCGGCTAGGCCCATAAGCCATGGCCGCTGAGCCAGCACATCCGGAGCCTGTGCTCCGCAACGAGAGAGGCCACGACAGTGAGAGGCCCGCATAACGAATAAAAAAAAAAGTGATTTAGGGCTTCCCTGGTGGCGCAGTGGTTGAGAGCCTGCCTGCCGTTGCAGGGGACACGGGCTCGTGCCCTGTTCTGGGAAGATCCCACATGCCGCGGAGCGGCTGGGCCCGTGAGCCATGGCTGCTGAGCCTGCGTGTCCGGAGCCTGTGCTCCGCAACAGGAGAGGCCACAACAGTGAGAGGCCCGCGTACCAAAAAAAAAAAAAAAAAGTGATTTATACAAATTCTCATTTACTCTCATAGAGCTCTAGGTCCTCATTTATTATCCTCATTTTATAAACGGGGAAACCGAAGCTCAGAAGTTAAGAAAGGTTCCCAAGTTTATGGAGTTAACAAGTGGCAGAACTGGGATTTGAACCCAGATCTGACTGACTCTAGAACCTGAGCTCTGGTTGGGCAGGAACAAGGGAGTGGGAAGGAGGGAAGATAAGAGCCTGTAGGAATCTGCTGGGTTTGAATGGGCTTGAGATGGGCCTCGAGGAAAGGAGATGAGAGGGTTTCTGAGGGAAACGATGGAAGGTGAGGGAATGGGTCCTGGGCATTGGAGGGAGAGTGGGAAATCAGATTGGACAGGCACACTGACAGGCCCAATCTGTCAATGGAATGTAGACTCCATGTGGTAAGAAGGAACTGGGAGATACTAAGGGGTTATTTAGGAGGTGGTTGATGTGATAAAGAGTAACCTTAAAATTTATCAAGCAGATAAAGATCTAGGAAGGTCACTGAGGAGACCTCTGCACTGAAATACTTTTTTCTTCCTTTGTTCCCTGTCTTGTCCTGGTAGCCACAGATGTGACTTAACCCATCCATGGCACTCAGGACTGCAGACTGCCCACTCCTCAGCTCTAAGCTATCTTTCCAGGGATCATACCTAAGATCACAGTTCTTTGTTCAAGGATCAATAGAAGGCTCTGCAGATTGACTACTGGCTGGAAAGCGGGGCTGGGCACTTTGTCATGATTGTTGCTACCCCTGCAGAAAAGGTTATTCAGAAATATAACGTTATTTCAAGGTGTTGGGTACAAAGGAGGCACCATACACATACCAACACCACGACAATTCCACAGGATTGTCAGGGACCCCCATCAACATCACTCATTAGCAACTGTCCCTGACCTAACTCAGAAAGTACCCAAGAGCACCAAGCCATCTTCAATGGGGACGGTGTCAGTTCTTTCCTGATTTGAGTAGACCAAGTTAAATTTATACCTAAAGAACTAGTTTCCAGATTTCAGTGTCTTCCCAGCCCACGTTGTTTTCAAATTAATGAAAATTAAAATTGCTGGTGCACAGTAAGGAAAACTGAAGAGGCAAAATGAATAGCTAGAATTCTCTGAATGATGACCAGAGCACAAATAATGCTGGGACCTGATGAGGCCAAAAGACACCTAGTGAGCTTAGCTAGCTGGTTGTGGTACCCTGGGAAGGGGGAGATGTTATCTGTCAAAGGGAAGATAAATTCTGCGAACCAAACCTGGTAGTTTGGGGAAAATGTGTTTAACCCACTCACTTCCCTCCTTATTTGTAATATTGCTTTCCTACTTTTCAACTTGAGTTTACTCTGGAAGTGGAACATTTATTCCAACAAAATGTGCCCGGTGTGGTCTCTCAGCGATTAAAGACATCTGCTTAGTCGGCATTAACTTCAGTGTAGTACTTGCACCTCTCTGAGGTTACTAAGCCCTCAGTAGGCTGACGCTGCTTCATTTTCTTCAGGTATATAAACTGAAGAGGCAAACTTTACCTGCTCTGAAATCCAAAGAAAATGGTACTTGGCTCCTTGGGCTCATTAGCCTTTAGTCTTGGTTAGTAATTACCAGATGTTGCTCAGGCATATTTGGAAAAGAACTTTATCTGTTGAACTTTCTTTTGGAAAATCAGAACATTATGCGCCAATTGTGAAGGAGGGGAAATGCTGTACTAGAAAGCTTAGCCAGGTGTGACATAATCATTTTCTTGAGGATGTGGTGTGGCGAACTTTTTTTCTTCTAGGTAATGAACACATTTGCTTGTAGTTTGAGTTTAAAAAAAAAAAAAGCTATTATGTTTCCTTTAAAAAAACGTGCAGAACGTCAAAAGTGTGAAATCCATTTTAGGCTGTTGAAAATATTTGGGTTTTTTTTTTTTTTTTTTTTTTTTTTAATATTTGGGTTTTTAAGATAGCATCACAGATGTATATATTCCAGGTTCAAATTACTCAGAATTCTAGATTTTAAATATTATAAACTGTAGTTGAAATCAAATGTAAATTAACCTGTGATTTTTTTTTCCTTCTAGTTATTTTTAGCTAAATAACCGAGGATAGGAAGTGAGGCTGGCAAACAACATTCGCTGGGAGGACCCTTATTGTGATCGAATTCCAAGTAGTATTTTTTAGTCACATCTCATTCTTACACACACACACGAATCCTGTTGTGTTTTAAACAGATACTGAAAACCTCAACTCTATTTGTGAGTCTTTTTCTTTTTTAAGATATCTTTCCTACAGACAGAATCTCTAGGAGCCAGCCAACAATCCAGGCCTAACACTTTAGCTAACAGCTTCATAGTTCAAAAAAAGTAGGGTGGGGGAAGTGAGACTGAGTAAAAACAAAATGAAAATGACCAAGATGTTTTGGGAGACACTTTACTACAGTTATTAGGTGACCTCACTGGGGATAGCACACTCTCCAGAAACCATATTTACCACGAATCACCCAAACTATTATATTCAATAAGGTCAAAGGGCTGGATTTATGTAATATTTTTAAATTTACAATTTTATAAATATAAGGATACTGTGTGTATTATCAAATAATTCATCTGTATTTCTAAAGTGTCATATTTTCTATCGTTCTTGTTAATCTGTTTGAACTAGGGAGAAAAAAAGGTATTGACATAGTTGAATACTCGATCCATCAATCACTAAAATTGAACCAAGATCCAAGTTTTCATAGTTTAATTCTATACCATCCATACTTCTCACCAGAAAACTGATAAGGGCTGACATAAATAACTCAGTTGGAAGGATATCTGACTATCTTATAAAAACATTATGCAGAATCTTTAAAGGTGTTAGCCCTGGCAGGATTCCTAGGTGAGAATAGGCAGCTATACCATATTCTACTTTTGGTGACCTCCTCACTTTTGGATTTTGTCATGACTTCAACCAGGCCCCCTTTGAAGGTTTATTTCTGAACACAAACCTTTCTCCTTCGGCTGGTCTCATTTTTTTAGTGGTCTAGGGAAAGAGACCGAGGCAGGCTGTGGCCTATTTTAAATCCTTAGGTTCCTCTCCCTCCCACTCCTTGCCCTTCTCCCCTCCACATTCCTGCTACATGGAAAGGCAGTGGGGCCTCATACCTCAACATTTTATTAAAGAACCACTTAGCCATTCTCTCACCAGGATGGGCACAAGATGCCGGTTATTCCCTTAGATGAGTGGGTTTTTAAAAAGCTGGGTGGGAGACCCCATGCTACAAATTTAATTCAAAAACTGTTAAAGGAACCTTTTTTTAAATCTCAAGAACAGCCTTTTCACACTTCTCTACCACCTTTCCATTGGCTGTGTGTAAATAAACAAAGACCACCAAGTGAGAAAAGGCTATTTATTCAAAGCTTGCTACAGCAAGGGGGGGAGCCACCTTCACTCAGCTTGGGACTTACAGGCCGGCAGTGAAAAAAAAAAAAAGAAAAAAAAAGGGGGTGGGTGGAGTAGGCTTCAGGGTATGCTCTGATTGGAGGTTAACTCGGGGAAGCTGGAGGCGGGCTAACTAGAAGCCGGGCGTCTAACGTGATTGGTTGGGGGGGGAAACATATTTGGCTTTCTCTGATTGGTCCCGAGTTGGTAACAGGGGCAAAAATTTGGGAAGCTGGCAGTCAATGACCGACTCCTGCCCGTTCTAAGCTGATCACTGCAGAGGCTGTGGTTTGGCTTCCCGTGTTGGTTGCAGCAGAGATTGTGGGTCGGAGTTCTGTTGTCAACATATGGTCCCGTCATTGCCCTGTATATTGTCTGTCAACTGGGTGAAACCCAGGTTATTTTCCCTTGACCTGGATAACTTTCAAGCTTCCGATTTTTGTTTTACCTGGAACAAGATTGCATTCCTGTTATTTCTGTTAAGGATAAACGGAGACATTAGGATATGGAAAGTATTTATGGGAACAAATACATAAGTGTCTTTCTGATGAGGGTCAGGCTGGAGAAAGAATCACCCTCGGTCCTCTGATTGCCCATTTCCGTACACAACTCCTATTACCATTATAACTGACTCCTTAGCAGCGTTTCCTTCCTTCGGGGGGTGGGGCTCGGCCTCCTTGGTTCCCTCTCTTTGAGGACTGCCCTTTGGGGCCGAGAGAGGAGGATCGCTGCCCCAGTCTCCCACTTCCCTTCCCGAAGCTCGCTTTCCGGGTTCCGGCCCGGGTCGCACCCCCGCTACCCAGCACCCCACCCCCGCGCAATCCTCCTACAGCGTCCTCCACCCCCGCCCCTGCCCGCCCGCGCACAGCGCCCCCTGTCCGCCCCGCGTCCTCCCCGGTTCTCCCCACCGCACCGGTCCCGGCCGGCCCCCCTTCCGGTTCCCACACCCGGGCGCGTGCCGGCGCCTCCGGACCAGTGGTTCCGCGCGTTCCTGCACGGAGGCGCGGGGCTCGAACGGACGCGACCCCCTTGGTCCTGCAGCAGCTTCCCCGGCCCGCGGGAGATGTCAGGTCAGCTCTCCCGTCCCCGAGTCGCTACCCGGTCCTTGGTCAGGAATAAACAGATCCTCCTCGGGTCCCAAGACCCCGACATCCATTCTGGGGGTACTCTTCCCAGCCACCATTCCCCGATCATTTCTCCTCAGCTGTGGAAAAAGCAGCCCTCCTTTCTCTTCAGAAAGGGACCCGTATTTTCCCTTCAACTTCCCTCAACTTGGGCCCCCGCGGGCCCCCAGTCGGTGGGAAAGCACTACCCTCCATTTTCGTCCCAGGGACGTTCCTCGGCCCGGATTTCTCCTGCCACGAAGCAGGGGAGGCAGAGGCGCCGCGGCGGGCTCAGCGGCTGCAGCTGGGCCCTCGCCATCTTGCGCGGAGGAGGAGTCGCGGCGGCAGCCATGCGGAGAGCTAAGGGGCGGGGGTGCTGCGGCCGAGGGAGGGGGCGGGGAGCCGAGTTAGCTCGGCCCGGGCGGCGGCTTCGGCGGCGCCTTGAGAGCGGGCAGCGGCGGAGGTAGGGCTGCGCGGCTCGGGGAGCGGGCGAGCGCCGGCAGGCTGGCCCCCAGGCCCCCGGAGTGGAGCGGGACGGGGGGCGGGGCGGGGGGCGGCCGAAGTGAGGGGCCGGGTGGGGGCGGGCGGAGGTTTCCGAGGAGGAAGGAGCCGCCGCCATTTTGGGAGCTTCGAGTCAACAATAAAGGACCGAGGGTACAGAGCGGGAGTGGCTTCAGTGGTAGGACTCGGGCCCGAGTCGCGAGGAGTGGGGTGAGGTGAGGGGTTGGAGGTCGGCGGTGCAGCGGGGGCTGCGGGGAGTTACCCCCCCCCCGGCCGGCGTGGGGGGCGCTCTGAGGCGGAGGCCTGAGGCCTGGTCGGGCCCGGGGGAGGAAGGCGGGCGGCAGCTGTGGGGCGGGGGCGCCCGGGAGGAGTGGGATAGAGCACTGTTGTGCCCGGCGGGGTCCGGAGGAGGAGCGGGAGAATTCCTCGGAGGAGCTTTGTGGGAGACGAGGGAAGGTGGGATCGTAGGGGGCGGCAAGGACTTAGGGAGATCGTGGAGGTTATAGGATACGAGGCGGCCCTATAGGGGGCGGCAGGGATATGCAGTAGCGGAAGGCTGGGTTTCGAAGAGGACCGGCTGCTTGACGGAGTAAGGCCTTGCAGGTCGATAACAAGGGGGTGATTATGGAGCCCCAGCGTCATGGAGAAAGGAGGGGCCGTCTGACTTAAGGGTTTCTCTTTGGGGCCTTTTGCGGGAGCCCCTATTGTTTCCTACCCGCGGAGCTGGTTCCCTGCTCTTGTTGCGCAGATACGATTTCAGGGCCCCAACCCATTTGTGTTTATGGGCCCAGGGAGCTGACTCGAAGTGTGTGGGTTTGGTGGGGGGGGGGGGTGTTGAAGGGTAGGGAAACAAGAAATTATTTGCCTACGGTTATAGGGCTCAAATCACTGGCTTGATTCTTTCCCTTATCGCTCACTCCCCTTTCTCTTCAACAGTTCCCTCGCCCCTTCAAAATAGAACGGTCACTCCAACTTGCAGACCAAGCTTAGAGAAACTGCGCTGCATTCGCACACAAAAGGTCTTTTTGGAGATGACGATACTGTTTTGGGTGTGAAACTGTCAATTGCTAACTACAATCTGGGAAGTGCTGTAATTAACTCCGCTAGGGGTTCCTCCCAACTCGTCTTTGTTTCGTTCGTATTTTTGAAAATGTAGAAAATATAACTTGCAAATCTAAATTGGGAAGGGGTAGGAGGAATATTTCTTTTCCTGAGACGTAGAGCTGCAGTGCTGCTTTTAGCTTAATTGAGAGGGGAGCAGTTATCACATAGTCGGATTTTGGATGCAGGGAGGTATGAGGTCTTACGTGCATGATGGACAGTAATGATACCATTTAATTTTTAGAAGTTGCCACCTTCATCCTCTTAGTGTTTGCAAATAAGTAAGTCTTCTGGTGTGAAGTAGGTGATATCGCTGATCATAATATAAACCTGTCAATACAGGAAACCAATTACTACCTTGCACTGAAATTGGATGGCTCTTAACCACCCTCTGCTTAAGAGGTCACTCAGCTTCTGGGAGACTTGGAAATAATACAGCTTTGTGTACGTGATAATCAGGATTTGCTTGTGAGCAACTTTGTTTTCAATTAAAAAAAAGACATCAAAGAGGTTTTTTTTTTTATTTTTATTGTTTGAGAAACCTTGGTGTATGGCAGAAACGCTAATTAATAAGCTAGTGTATGTTTGGTAAGAAATGTAAAGGAGTTAAAGAACAAAGCAAACAGAGCAGCCCTTTATTTTCTGGCCTTTTCCCCCCTGGCTTTTCAGTTACGTTTTCATGTACTTCCTTTAAAAATAATTTTATTTGGGGAATAATTTTAAAATTTTTTAAATTCACTTAATTAGTACTCTGGGTTTCCTGGAAAGTTTGATTAAAGTTTCTAGTATCTTTACCCTTTAACAGATTTTTTTTTTAACAAAGCTAATTTCCTTTTTGTGTTTTTGTAATTTAAAAAAATGCTACTTCAAGTTGGGATATACTTTTTGAAAAGTGTTATGTTTAAAAACGTAGCAGTTTTTTTAGTATTCAGATTTAATTAAGGTAGCTAAAGGTTTTCTTGGCTGTTTTTCAAGCAGAAGATTTTGACATGTAGACATATTTATATCCCTTGACATGCTTCAGTTACTGTTTTAAAGGGCAAAAACTTAAGGGAAAAAAGAAAATGTATTTTTCTTTATAAAGTTTAACTCCTGTCGTTGAAATTCACAAGGGCATAAATGTGTTCTTCTTAAAGCATAAGGTGAAGTCAAAAGCTCAACTCTTCAAGGATTCTCAGTTGTCAGAAATAGAAAAAAAATTAATGAATTGTCTTGCCTTGTTCATTTGTAGATTTACATTAAGTTGTGCGATACTTCACTGAGTTGTAATGCAATTGAATGTAATGACTCATTGACTTTAAGAGGTGGCAGGGACTTCAGAGAATTCATCAGGGAGGAAACAAGGGAAGAGATTGTCATTTGACAACTAATGCTAACTTAATCACAGTATCTTTCTACTTTGTATTCTCTGGGTTGATTTGAACTGACAGTTTAAAATGTTTGAGATGGGTCTCGGTGCAGGTTTGGTTTTTGAGGCAATTCATCTTTTTGTGTTTTTCCTAGCTTGGCTAGTGATTTGGTCTCAGTGCAGCTGTATTCTTAATTCTTTAATTTAAAAGAAGAGAGTTCTTCTAAAGGAGTTCTTTAAAAGGGAAACAAAAAAGTTTTTTTCTAATTTTACTCTGTTTGCTAATTTTAACTTTTTTCTTTGTTTCAGACTGAAGTGAGCGAATTCAGATATATAACTCAACCTTGTTAGAGGGCTTTATTAAAAAATAAAGAGTTGATTCCGTGCATGAGAGCAAGTTACTGCTGCTTACCGTTCAGAGACTTACAGGTGCTTGCCTGCATTGCAATAAAGGACTCATATATTGAGCAAGACTTATATTTATCTCTTCGTTTTGGAGAGCCTAATAAACTGTTATTACAGTTTCTCTACTGACTTTCAAAAGTTTTGAAGTTTGAAAGAGACATCTTTACAATTAATACAGCATGAGCACGGCCAGAACAGAGAACCCTGTTATAATGGGTCTGTCCAGTCAAAATGGTCAGCTGAGGGGCCCTGTGAAGCCCAGTGGTGGCCCCGGAGGAGGGGGCACACAGACACAGCAACAGATGAACCAGCTGAAAAACACCAACACAATCAATAATGGCACTCAGCAGCAAGCACAGAGTATGACCACCACTATTAAGTAAGTGTTAGAATAAATAATAAACACACTTGGGGGACCAAGGAGATTTATTTTGTTAGTTGTTGACTACTTTGTGTATACCTTAGTTTAACCATTTTGATTGCAAATAGCGGACAGACGACTTCGTTTTATGGCCAGCAGGTATTTGCAATAGAAGAATGTATTTCTTTCATAACTAATTCAGGTTTATTAAGTAACAGACTGGCACAGATTAATATATATTAATTTTGTATAGACTGTTTTTTGAAACATGTCTGGCTTTCATAATGAGCTCAGATTCATCTTGTTTTTGCCAGTATGGCTTTTTCCCTAGTGTTAGAACTTGACCTTATCCTAGTTTGAATGGCTGTTATAGCCAATTTCACATTTTAAATTTAACGACTTGCCCAGCCTTCTGAACTTCAAACATACTCACAGAAAATTTATCCATAACTTTTTTTTAGTTTATGACACTTTGCTTTTCTGCCCTATTTATTTACTTTTCAAATACACTTTCTCCTCCTTTTACACACACGCACACAAAATAACAAGCAGTTTATGTCATAGGGAACTCAGGATTTTGAACTCCTATAAACACATCTCTGAATAGTCCCGTACCCCTTTGACGACTTTTAAAAACGTAAGCGCCTCATCTTACTACAGAATATTTTTTCTTTTAAATTTAAAAGTGTGTAGGCTATCATCTTTAAGTGTACACTTTAAAGTATATGAGTGGTAACTATGACTCCAAAGAATCAGTTAATAGAAAATTAACATTCAAGAATCTTGACCCATTTGAGATTTGTCTTTGTTAAAAATCTAGCCATGTAAGTTGATTTAACCTCTAGAAATCTTCATAAGATGATAAAACTCTTTCAAGGAACCAAAGCTTGTGTTTTATTATAACCTAGATCTTTTCCATGCTTAAAAAGTACTTACTAAAGAAAAATAGCCCTAACTTCCAACAGAATTGGTTTGGTCACTGGGAGATTTGGCATTAATACATATTCTATTATTATTTTATTATTTTTTTAAGTGTTTTTTTTATTTTTATGTTCTTGCGGTACGCGGGCCTCTCACCGCTGCGGCCCCTCCTGCTGCGGAGCACGGGCCCCGGACGCGCAGGCCCAGCGGCCATGGCTCACGGGCCCAGCAGCTCCGCGGCACGCGGGATCCTCCCGGACCGGGGCACGAACCCGCGTCCCCCGCATCGGCAGGTGGACTCCCAACCCCTGCGTCACCAGGGAAGCCCTCTATTATTTTTGAGATGAATATTTTAATTAGTATAGAAATCAAGAATATTTTCTAAATTGCAGCTTGTCTTGAAAAAATATGAATAGGCTAGCAATATTTAGGCTATTTTTAATTCTTAATGATAGAAACATAAAGCTACATTCTTTCTTTCTTTTCTTTTTTTTTTGGTACACGGGCCTCTCACTGTTGTGGCCTCTCCCGTTGCGGAGCATAGGCTCCGGACGCGCAGGCTCAGCGGCCATGGTTCACAGCCCTAGCTGCTCCGCGGCATGTGGGATCTTCCCGGACCGGGGCACGAACCCGTGTCCCCTGCATCGGCAGGCGGACTCTCAACCACTGCGCCACCAGGGAAGCCCTCATTTCATTTTGAGAGTATTTTCTACTTGAAATCAGATTTGAGACAACAGTGGATTTTACCTTTTTTTTTGCTTTTCTTAGGATTAATGGTTTTTTTTCAATTCTGTGGATCTTTAAATCTCAGTTTAAATGTCATCTCTTCTATGAAGACTTCTAGATCCCATGGCTCAGAGCTCTTCTAATACCTATCTCTATCACTTGTTTTCTCGTTAAAAATTTTTTTTAACCTCCTAAGATTATAAATTTTTTTTGTAGGCAGATTTTGCGTTGTATCTTCCTGCATTTTTATCCACGATTTAGTGAATTTGGCAATGTGGCAAGCTGGCTTACTAGGATGTTCAGTTGACATTTTTGTTTATACCAAACTTTGCTATGGTATAGACTGGGGTGAAAGGCTTTAGTACCCTTGGATTGGTAGCAAATAGTTGCCTGTGTTACAGTATCTTGGATTATGTGGGACCTAGCTTTAAGTAAAATAATGTGCTTATCTTTCTAAATCAAGACTCTTGAGATGTTTGAGGTGCTTTAATTATATGAGTTGTTACAGTTAAATCAGTGAAAGCTTATTTATTTTAAAGGCACAGTTGAAAGCATTGTCTGCTTTATTGACAGTCTTTTTTCTCTTAGATGCTTTGGATATTATATTATTTGAAGTTTTTACCTGACCAAAAAGAAAATTTTTTATTACGTTTTCTTTGTTATTTTCTTTCGTGGTTTCAGGCATCCCCAGTAAAAAAGATTAAGAGAGATGTTTACTAACAGCTAATATCGAGTTCTTCTTTTGCCAGGCATTGTGCTGAGTGCTTTATAGAAATTATTTTATGTAATTTTTATCCTATTTTATATATGAGAGAATGGAGGTTTAGAAAAGTAACTGTTGCAAGGTCATAGAACTAATATGTAGAAGAGTCAGGGCTTGAACTCAAGTCTGAAACTTTATAGATTCCTTGGCTTTAACTAGTCACCAAGAGTTACAAACTCAGATGCCTATAGGGGACTGCCAGATTAGAGCGTACTTGCCCTATTAAAAGGCATCAACCACTTGATTTTAAACTCCATTTACTAAGCTCTATCAAACTGTTGCCATGCAGAAATTGGGAACCAGTGTTACTAAAGCTTCCAGATTTTTTCAAGAAAATCCAGAATCTGGACTTTTACACAAAATCTCCTCTAATTTTTTAATGTTGGCCACTAATTTAAAACACACACTATGGGCTTCCCTGGTGGCGCAGTGGTTGAGAGTCCGCCTGCCGATTCAGGGGACATGGGTTCGTGCCCTGGTCTGGGAAGATCCCACATGCCGCGGAGCGGCTGGGCCCCATGAGCCATGGCCGCTGAGCCTGCGCGTCCGGAGCCTGTGCTCCGCAGCGGGAGAGGCCACAAAAAACACACACACACACTATATAGGTCAAACAAAACATATGGGTTACTAGTTTTGAAAATGGTTGGACTGTATACAACTCTGCTTTTCTTAAGAGGATGGATACCTTACTCCCTTCTATTCTTGATTTTTTAAAATTCTCCCTAGATTGTTGTGCTTTGTAAGAAAACAGTTTTTCTAAAGTTTATCTCTTTTGTTACCTGTATTCTTAAGTAAACGGCAATATGTTCAACTTAGTGTGCTTTTTAGAATTATAATCGAGATGAATTATCTTTGTATTTTAGAATACTAATGCTGTGAATTCTGATACTTCAATTTTACTGTATTCTCTCTAGACCTGGTGATGACTGGAAAAAGACTTTAAAACTCCCTCCAAAGGATCTAAGAATCAAAACTTCGGTAAGTTGGTTGTAACATTCAAGTGGAAAAATGATCCTGAAACTCTAAAAGTGAAGTAGTTATTTAATGATAACAGGCACTGTGTTTACTCTTAAGTAAGTTGAAGTGGTTGAAATTGTATAACTCATGTATGACGAGTTGCCCAAAATTTCCACTATTTGGAGGAATTAGTAATAATGTATATGTATACACATTATTGCAATATATAATGTAATATTTAATATACGGTATACAATACAATAATTATTATATATACAGTATTTAATATATAATTTATATATTAAATATCGTGTTTATACGTATATATATCTTATCTCTTTTGTGGAATGCTTTTATGGTTTTCAAGGCGTTTTCTCAAAATTCTCGTTTCCAGCAGCACGGTAAGTTTCAGGGTAGGTATTGTCCACATTTTGTGGATGAGAAAACTGAAGTTGAGAAGTTAGTTCTCTTAGCCCAGTGTTCTCAACCAAGGGCAATTTTTGTCCCCTAGGAAGCATTTAGCAATAGCTGGCGCAATAGCTGGTTATCACAGCTGAAGGGATGCTACAGAACAGCCCCTTACAGCAAAGAATTTTCTGGCCCAAATGTCAATAGTGCTGGACTTGAGAAACCCTGGTTTAGACTAGGATATTTGTAGGCAGTGAATGGTGGAGCTAGGGTTTGACTTCATATCTTGTGGTTTGATACTTATATAGAAATAACAGTATTCCATCAGTCCTTAGAGAAAAATGACCACAGGGTGGCTGGTCTTTCCCCAAAACATAGTTTTTAAATGGCTTGTGTGTGTTAAAGAGAGTGGTTATCTTTCAGTTGAACTATAGATCAAGACAGAACTAATCTGCGCATATTTATATTTTAAATGGGGTAAAGAATTAGTCTCGCAAACACTTTATTAAGCATGCTAATTACCAAAGGAACCCAATTGTACTTCATTCTTCTGATGTTGTTTGTTTTTGTTTGACCAGGATGTGACCTCCACAAAAGGAAATGAGTTTGAAGATTACTGTTTGAAACGGGAGTTGCTGATGGGAATTTTTGAAATGGGCTGGGAAAAGCCATCTCCTATTCAGGTATGTTTCCCCTTTTTTATCGTATGTATAATGTTATGAGTTAAGTGTTACACACTTTCTGATCTGCAGGAATGATACAGTGAAACAACAGTTCTCTCCAGTTTGTACACACACACATATATATATATATATGTACACACAGGCATACACACTTTCTGAACCTTTAAATGGTAAGTTACAAAATCATGGCGCTTTATTTCTAAATATTTCAGTGTGTATTTCCTAAGCATAGGGATAGTCTCTTGAATAATCGTAGTCCAGTTATGTTCAGTCAATTTAACTTTAATGCAGTATTTCTATCTCATCTGTCATTTGTAGTCTTATTTTTAACTGGCCCCCAGATTTTGTCTTAAAGCATTTTTTTTCTCTTCCATACAAGATTCATCCTAGGATCAGGTATTGCATATAATGGTTACATCTCTTTTAGTAGTGAGCATGTCCCTGTTCTTTTTTTGTCTTTTATGACATAGACATGTTAAAAATATGGCCCCCTTCCTTTTTTTTTTTTCTCCAGTAGAACATTCCTCATTTTGGGTTTGTCTCATATTTCCATGTGATTAGATTCAAGTTATGCATTCTTAGCCAGAATACTGCAGAAGTCACATTTGGAGGTATAGTGTTCCATGTATTCTTCAAGGGTGATTTTAATTTTGATTACCCTTTCAAAGTGGTGTCTTGATTTTTCTACTGTATAATTATTGCTCCCCCCCACCACCTTAAAACTAATAAACAGTCTTTGGGGAGCATTTTAAGGCAATGCAGATATACTACTCTTCATAAAAATTTCCCCCTAACTCCTCCTTATGTATCTATATATTATCAGTGTGGACTCATGAATTTTTTTAATGGTATTTTTTATATATATAAATGTATTTATTTATTTTTTATTTTTGGCTGTGTTGGGTCTTCGTTGCTGTGCACGGGCTTTCTCTAGTTGTGGTGAGGGGAGGCTACTCTTCGTTGCAGTGCACAGGTTTCTCATTGTGGTGGCCTCGTTGCGGAGCACAGGCTCTAGGCGCACGGGCTTCCGTAGTTGTGGCACACGGGCTCTAGAGCGCAGGCTCAGTAGTTGTGGCTCATGGGCTTAGTTGCTCTGCGGCATTGGCAGGCAGACTCTTAACCACTGTGCCACCAGAGAAGTCCCTTTAATGGTATTTTTGTGCTCGAATTGTCCCGTATTTGGCCAGCGTGAGCTCCTTCAGGCTGGTTCCTTTGTGTTTGTAATGTGCCTCTTTCGTTTTTTCCTCTGATAGACTATTTTATAAAGCAGTTTTAAGTTCATAGCAATTGAGCAAAAGAGATATTTCATAAATCCCTGCCCACACTCATGCATAGCCTCCCCCATTATCAGCATTCCCCACAAGAGCAATATTTGTTACAACTGATGAACCTGTGTTGACACATTATCACCCAAAGTCCATAGTTTGCATTAGGGTTCATTCTTGGTATTGTAGATTCTATGGGTTTGAACATATGTATAATGACATGTATCCACCATTATAGTATCATACAGAGTGGTTTCACTGACCTCCGTGCTCCACCTATTCACCCTTCCCTTCCCCCTTTGTTTTTCTTGAGCACTTCCTTTTTGGTATATCACGATGTCAAGCTTATCTGTAGAGCCACCCTTCCCCAGCCTCAGAATCAGCTATTTCTCCAAGGAACTCTGATTCCAATTAGTGGGGAGTAGGTGCACTCTTTCAGTGAAAAGAGCAAGGAAATATATGTATGTATACACATACATGCCTGTAGACCTAAACATGTGTTATACATGTACAGATTTGATAAATGTGATTGTTGTCTTCACATTTTTAAATTGAAGCTGTTGAATCCAAGCTGTACTCAGGACAAACTCTGTGACATCATTGAGTACTTTTTCATTGAACAAACATGTATCAAGTGACCTAGAAAGTGTTAGACCCTGAGGGTGTTATGATGAACAAGATAAATAGGGTTCCTGCACTCAGAGTCTGGTGGAAAGGACAGCTTATTGTACAGGTAATTTCAGTGTAATGTAATGGGCACATATATGTAGTTGAAATTGCACATATATGTAGCTACTAGGGAAGATGGAACAACCTGGAAGAAGTGATCCATGTTCCAAGTGGGGAACACTGGAATGGTGATTGCCTGGGGATGAGAGTGTGCCTTTGTGGACAAACTGAAAGGAGTTTGTTGTGGTTAGAGAAAGTATCAAGATAAAGTTATACCTCATCAGGCAGTTTGAGTGCAGATACCAAAAATATTTAGGAATCTACTTTTCCATAATATAGTTCATGTTAATCTGTTTTATCTATAGGAGTGAAACATTTTATGGGCACTTTTCTACTGTATCATTCAACTTTGTATCTCTAGTACTTAGCAAGGTGCATGGCAGGAAATAGGCCCTCAGTTGTATTGCTTTGTTGGAATTATGGTTAATGGATATCTGTAAGCAAACTTCGTCTAGAGAAGTGTTTTAGAGCACTGTCTTTGCGGTGAGGCTGCGCGGGTTGAATCCCAACTCCACTCCTCTCTAAGGAGATTATTTAAATGTCTCGAAGCCTCCGCTTTCTGACCTATAAAATTGATATAATGGTGTATACCATGGGGTTGTTGTAAAGATTAAGTGAGGTAATTCATGTTAGTATCCTTACTGCAGTGGCTAATAGGTGACAAATGCCCAATAAATGTTATGGGGCTTTATTTTATGTAGTAGTTTTATCAAAAAAGGAGATTGGTTCATTTGGCAGAGTTAATTCTTAATGGACCCTTGCTGACTCCTGTTTCACACCTTTGTATTAAATTTTAAAATTCACTTTGTTATTTGCATTCTCAGTTTTGTATAGCATATAGATAGTTAACTCTCCAGCCACTTAGCCAGTCTACCATCTAGCTTTTTCTGTAAAGTAGAAATGATCTCCCTCACAGGGTTTTTATTGTGAGGATCGAAGGTTGTGTACAGGCATATCTCGTTTTACTGTGCTTTGCTTTACTGTATTTTGCAGATACTGCGTTTGGGTTTTTACTGGTTTTGTTTTTTTTTTTAAACAAATAGAAGGTTTGTGGCAACCCTGTGTTGTCAGATGATGGTTATTATTTTTAAATTAAAGTGTGTATATTGTTTTTTTACACAATACTGCTGCACACTTAATAGACTATAGTATAGTGTAAACATAACTTTTATATGCACTGGGAAACAAAAAAATTTGTGTGACTCACTTGATTGCACTGATCTAGAACCGAATCCACAATGCTCCAAGGTGTATTTTGAAATAGCAAGCAGAGTATGAATATAAAGTATTATTCTGTATACCTGAGACTATCATTCACATTGCTTTTTCCTGCACTATTGTTTTGCCTGAGGATCCATGGAAAACACAAGATAACATGCTTCTTAGAATCATTCAGTGTAACAAACCATAAATACTAGGACTTTAGAACCAAAAGAAATCTAGAAGTCCTCTAGTAAAATCCAACCTCGTGACTGGCATTCTTCTTGTCTACCTTCTTTCCTCACTTTTTTTTTTGTTATTTTTTTTTCTTTTCCTAAAACGTGTCTATTGTCTTTATAGTACTTAGTTTTACAGTTTGATCCGGGCATTTTTTTTTCTCTCTCCAGATATAAAATCCTCTTGACCAGATGGGTGTCATATACATTTGAATCTTTTTTAAGAGATCTGACTTAGTTGCACTTTGGCTATAAGATTATTAGAAAATGAGGCACTTAAAATCTTTTGAGACGATACAATTTTACACTGACAGGCTGGAACCAGATATACTACAGATTGCTTCCACACATTTTTCTTTGGTACAGCCATCTGTGATTCTAGTTCTTGGTCTGAATGCTGTACCCAGTAGCATAACCATGCCATTCTGAGGCCTAGCTTTACAGGAGTAGAGACTTCTTTGGAGGACCTAAGAGTCTGTCTTATTCTGCTTAACATTGAGAAACCTTACATTAACTTGGGGATGATTGGTGACAGCTCTTGCTGCTTCCAGACCTTAGGCACAACTTTTGAAGACTTTTTAGGTAAGAAGATGATGGAATGGCAAGTAGTTCATTATTGAGGGAAACATGGAAGTTCCTTCTTTTGGCAACCAAATTTCATATCAAGTCAGGAATCTCAAATTATTTTCAGAAATTATTTTGTTAACCAAGTCTAATTGGTTGTTTATTAAATTTATAGTTAAGAATTAGAGCATTCTTAATTCTTTTATAATTCATTCCTCCTGCTAACATGGATTTATTGCCAAAAGAATTATTTTCCTAAATTCTCAAAGTCTTTAAATGCATGTCTTCATTGGTTACTATGGTAAAATTGGGGTGTGTTCCTTAAGGTGGAGATGTTCTTTTTGAAATTACTATCTTCCGTCTCCTTTTTTTCTGGGTAGCAGTAGATGTCGTCACCATTGCTTACCTCCTCCACAGTACCCATATTTTTTTCCCCTGAAATTAAGGTTCTTAAATTCAACTAGTCCTAGGAAGTAAAAAGAAGCAGCTACTCTAAAAGCAGCTAGCTGGGCAATTTGGAGCCTTTTCAGGTACTATACTTTTGTAAAATGCCTCTCAGTACTAGGAAATTGGAAGGTATCCCATTCTTTGGTTGTAGGCAACAGAGACCAACTTGGGTTAACTTAAGCAAAAGGAAATTTATTGAATATCAGGAATTCACAAGATTAGGGAGAAGTCTGGAGAAACACACTTGGCATTGGCCAAGAACCAGGGTAGCCCTAAAGGGCTCAGGAAGCTGTAAATCGTTATAGGATGCACTATAGCAATTTCAATTCTTAGAAAGGAGCATTCAGCCCGGCCTGGCTTCAGTCATTGTCCTCCATACAGCTGAGGAAGTTGGCTAGACTATCCATTGGGGTGGGGAGGATGTAATTCCTCAAAGTTACGGTGCTACTAAGAAAGGAGAATGGATGGATAGTAGGGTTATAAAAACACAATAAATACATACTGGCTCAGTCCCTAGACCTTACAGTGGAACATGGACTTTGGAGAGCTAAAGTGGCAGAATCAGACCTTAAGGTCGTTTAAGGTTAAGGTTTCTGTTTTTTGTGTTGTTTTTTTGGGTTTTGGTGGGTTTTGTTTTTGTTTTTGGTTGTTTTGTTTTTGGTGGCCTTAGGGTATAATCACACAGCACACAATTCACACATTTTAAGTATACGGTTCATTGTTTTTTAGTATATTCACAGTTGTGCAGTCACACAACTAAAACAGTCAATTTTAGAATATTTTCATCACCCCAAAAAGAAACTTTAGTAATCACCCTTCATCTTCCCCTAGCTCTAAGCAACCACTAATCTACTTTCTGTCTGTATGGATTGGCTTATTCTGGACAATTTCATGTAAATGGAATCATACAATATATGCTCTTTTGTGACTGGCTTTTTTGACTTAGCATGTTTTTAGGGCTCATCCATATTGTAGCATGTATCAGTACTCCATTCCTTTTTATTGTTGAATAATATTCCACTGTATAGCTATACCAGATTGGTTTATCCATTCTTCAGTTGTAGGGTTGTTTCCACTGTTAGCTGTTATGAATAATGCTCCTTTGAACACTGGTGTACGAATTTTTGTGTGGAGATATTTTCATTTCTCTTGGGTATATACCTAGGAGTAGAATTGCTGGTTCATATGGTAACTCTTTAACTTTTTGAGGAACTGCCAGACTGTTTTCCAAAATGGCTGTACATTGTACCTACTGGTATATGAGGTACCGATTTCTCTGTTTGCAAACCGAAGTTCAAATCCTGGTTCTAGCATTTCTTGCTTTGTGACCTTCAGTAAAACAGTCTGAGGATCCATCTGTCAGTTGTAAAACAAAACATACCTAACTTGAAAGGATATAATTAACGTTAAGTATCTAAGCATAGTGTCCATCATAGTAAGTTTTTAAAAATTATTTAGCTTCCTTCCTCCTTCCTCTTCTCCCTGGCTGCTCCCCATGACTTCCTCTTGGGTTTCAAAGCTGTGTGAGTCGGACTTGAATTCTCTTGCTTCATATTACTTAATCTTCCCAGGAAACAGTAGTAAGAGACGGTGTGGATATACTGGATCTCCTGACTGCTAATCATAATGATCACCATATGAGATGAAATACAGTGCATCTTAACTTACAGACTAGCTTACTTTGTTAAAGTCCTGTCCTTAAACAGTTTCTGTAGAGCATAAGTCCTGTCAGAGTAGAGGAATAGAAGTCAGTGAATGGCCTTTAAGTCAAAAGATAAACCCCAAATAGGAATTAGGATACCCCCAATCTAATTCTGCCCTGTCTTCATTCAGAAGTCTTATCTTTTTTTTATTAATTTTTATTGGAGTATGGTTGCTTTACAATGTTTTGTTAGCCTCCACTGCACAACAAAATGAATCAGCCATACGCATACAGGTATCCCCTCCCTTTTGGACTTCCCTCCCATTTCGGTTACCACAGTGCATTAGGTAGAGTTCCCTGTGCTATACAGTACGTTCCCATCAGTTGTCTATTTTGTACATAGTTTCAATAATGTATATGTGTCAATTCCAGTCCCTCCCTCCCCACCCCTTTCCCCCTTTGTATCCATACATTTGTTCTCTACGTCCACATCTCTTTCTGCTTTGCAAATAAGATCATGTATACCATTTTCTAGATTCCATATATACACGTTATTATATGACATTTGCTTTTCTCTTTCTGACTTCACTCTGTATGACTCTCAGTTCATCCGTGTCTCTACAAATGACCCAGTTTCGTTCCTTTTTATGGCTGAGTAATATTCCATTGTATATATGTACCACATCTTCCTTTTTCTTTTTCTTTTTTTTTTTTTTTTTTTTGCGGTACACGGGCCTCTCACTGTTGTGGCCTCTCCCGTTGCGGAGCACAGGCTCCGGACGCACAGGCCCAGCAGCCATGGCTCACAGGCCCAGCCGCTCCGCAGCATGTGGGATCTTCCCGGACCGGGGCACGAACCCGTGTCCCCTGCATCGGCAGGCGAACTCTCAACCACTGCGCCACCAGGGAAGCCCATGTACCACATCTTCTTTATCCATTCCTCTGTTGATGGACATTTAGATTGCTTCCATGACCTGACTGTTGTAAATAGTGCTGCTGTGAACATTGGGGTGCATGTGTTTTTTTTGAATTATGGTTTTCTCTGGGTATATGCCCAGTAGTGGGATTGTTGGGTCATATTGTAGTTCTATTTTTAGTTTTCTAAGGAACCTCCATACTGTTCTCCATAGTGGCTGTAGCCATTTAAATTCCCACCAACAGTGCAAGAGGGTTCCTTTTTCTCCACACCCTCTCCAGCATTTATTGTTTGTAGATTTTTTGATGATGGCCATTCTGACCGGTGTGAGGTGATACCTCATTGTAGTTTTGGTTTGCATTTCTCTAATAGTGATGTTGAGCATCCTTTCATGTGTTTGTTGGCCATGTGTACGTCTTCTTTGGAGAAATGTCTATTTAGGTCTTCTGCCCATTTTTGGATTGGGTTGTTTGTCTTTTTGATATTGAGCTGTGTGAGCTGCTTGTATACTTTGGAGATTAATCTTTGTCAGTTGCTTCATTTGCAAATATTTTCTCCCATTCTGAGGGCTGTCTTTTGGTCTTGTTAATGGTTTCCAGAAGTCTTATCCTTTTAAAGAACCTGATTCAGGAAGTCACTGGGAGACTACCTAGCCTTTTTTTCTGCTGTAGAACTGAGTAGTATGCAGGTAGCCTGTTTAAAAGCCATAGAAGAGAATGAACTCATGGGGATAACGGGCCTTCAGGACAACAAAAGATTAATAGAGTTGACTCAAAGTAAGAGGGGAGAGATCAAGACCAAAGGGTCAAAACCAAGGTTTTCTTCTTTGACCTGCTTTACCATACATAATAAGCAGACTGTTTAATGCTGGCTGTAGGAACAAGATAATAGAGTATTATGACTGGATCATTTTCGCAGTTGTTCTGGCAGCTGTGTTAGTTATTCTGACCATATGGAACCCATCTGACCCCTGTGATTGGGGTTCTAGAATAAGAGTCATGGTGGGAAATGAAAGTCATGATGCTTATGATTTAGATATTTCTCCAGTAACGGTGTGGGGTTTTTTTTTTGGTTTTTTTGGCTGCGTTGGGTCTTTGTTGCTGTGCGCAGGCTTTCTCTAGTTGCGGTGAGCGGGGGCTGCTCTTCATTGCGGTGTGCAGGCTTCTCATTGCAGTGGCTTCTCCTGTTGCGGAGCCTGGGCTCTAGGCGCATGGGCTTCAGTAGTTGTGGCACGAGGGCTCAGTAGTTGGGGCTCAGTAGTTGTGGCACGAGGGCTCAGTAGTTGGGGCTCACGGACTCTAGAGCGCAGGCTCAGTAGTTGTGGCACACAGGCTTAGTTGCTCCGAGGCATGTGGGATCTTCCCGGCCCAGGGCTTGAACCCGTGTCCCCTGCATTAGCAGGCGGATTCCTAACCACGGTGCCACCAGGGAAGTCCTTCAGTAACAGTTTTAAAGTGCTAGAGATACTTTTTTTGGTCATTAGCTCAAGCATAGAAAGAGCTAATTATTTTAGTGATTGTGAATCTCTTTTCCTAATTTATTTTCTTAATTTTCTAGTTTTAGAAATTAAAATGTTTAGTTTTAGAAATCGAAATGTTCTGCTTCCTCTCTGTTTATACCTGTTTTACTTTTTAAATTTCTCTCCATATATGTATATTTAATATTTAGTAATCGTTAGGAGTCCTTTGCTATTGTCTAGGAAATTTGTCCTAATAAGAAATACTATCTTCTTCAAAACACATATGACAAACTAAGCCAAATATGAAAATGGGAAGTCAGCCTTGGTAATGTGACCATGGATCAAGATAACTGGAATAGAGTTGAGACTCCAGTTGAGCACATCTCAGGACGGAAGTTGGCTGTGAGACAGACATTGGACATTATGTAATACGATTTTTTAAAAAATCAAATAGGACCCGAGGTTAAACTTTTCCAGCTGATTCCTGTTTTGTGTAGGGATAAATTGTCCAACCTACAATTTTTCATTGTGGTCAAATTGGTTTACTAGTCTCAGAATATCTTATTACAGTCTTTCCTTTGAATATTGTTTGTGCTGTCTTTTCCTCCAGTTTTTAATTGTGAAATGTCCTTTGCTTTTTTTCCTCTATGTATTCATGATGTTAGCCCAAGTTACTCGTCTTGGTTGTTGATGCGCAGCTTCCTTAGACAACACATTTGCACATGCAGACTTACATATACAGTTTTTTTATTACTTGAGTATGTATTTTATAAGCAGTTCTGGTAAATGTCAGTTGATACTGATGGTGACGTGGACTGTTCCTGCTAATTTATTTGGTCTCTACTTATTCTTGTAAAATACTTCAGAATAATACCAAAGAGCTATGTATACTTTCAGTGTGTTTTAGAGAAGAATTTGCTTATGTACTGTTTTTATTCACAAGTAATTTGCATTGTCTTATCTCTTCTAGGAGGAGAGCATTCCCATTGCTTTATCTGGTAGGGATATTTTAGCTAGAGCAAAAAACGGAACAGGCAAGAGCGGTGCCTACCTCATTCCCTTACTTGAACGGCTAGACCTGAAGAAGGACAATATACAAGGTTAGTTGTTTGTTTAAACTGTAAATGGCGATTTAAATCTTGGAGCGATTACCATCTTTTTTTTAGTCAGAACTTAAATAATCTGGAATTCGTATTTGTCCTTTTCACAGTTTCTGGCCTGGTTGTCTTGTAAAAATGATTCCTACCTTTTTTTAAAGAGATTTCTAGTTTTCAAAGTTCTTTTACATATTACACAGCTATGACAACATTCCAGTGAGATAGGCAAAATAAGATTATCGTCCTATAGATAGATAGGAAAAGCTAAGATCTTGAGAAGTTAAATTATCTGACATAGATACTTACAAACTATGGAACTGAAATGTTTCTTGTGACAGCTGTGTGTCTGCAGAGTTCCTTGTAGAAACATGAACTTTTTCTCTTTAAAGCCTGTGGTTTGGGGATTTTAAGAGGTTAGGCAGTAAGGAAGAAACAAATTTCCATAACTGTACCCAGAGTAAGCTAATAGAGTTAAGTTTTCATCTCTGAAGCTTTTTCTTAAATTTTCAGCTGTTTTTTTCCCCAGCTTTCTTGATCTATAATTATTATTTCTGCCATCTCTCTGTTACTTACTTTCATATGATATAAATAGAACTGGGCGGCAAGAGTTTCTTATTTGGGTATTTTGACTAGTGAATCTCTTACTAAAATATTAATGAACTTTGGGCTAATAATTGACCACTCAAAGAACCCTTTAACGGTTTGTAAATAAGAAGAGTACAAGAATTGTATAGCATTGTTACTGAGGAAAAGTCTAAATCTGGAACACTATAATAGGTTCTCTTTTTTTTTAAGAAATTTATTCATTTGAGTGTCTTAATTACAAGGGGAAATATTTCTGTAGCTTCTTAAACTCTTAATATATGCTGTTTTTTTTCTGTTTTCTCTGTTATTTGTTATTTTCCAGCAATGGTGATTGTTCCCACTAGAGAACTTGCTCTACAGGTCAGTCAAATTTGCATCCAGGTCAGCAAACACATGGGAGGGGCTAAAGTGATGGCAACCACAGGAGGAACCAATTTACGGGATGACATAATGAGGCTTGATGATACAGGTAGGAAATGATTGATGTAAGGTGGCTGGCTCTCTGTAATTCCACACACAGGTGTTTCCTTTCAGTAACTTATTAAAATTGTTTTTTAAATTAATAAGGAACAAACATTGCAGTAGAAAAATGAATAAAGGAAATGACTATTTCATTCAAGCAAAAAAAACCAGTTGTTTTAGTAATTGAAAGAATATTCAGCCTTACTAATTTTTTAAATTGTACATAAAAACAGTAAAGCGATATTGTACCTATCTGATTGACAAGGTTAATTCAGATTGGCAAGGCTAATTAGTAACCAGTAATGTGAGTTTGTGGAGAAGTTGGCTGTCTTGCAACATGGGTGTATAAATTGATATAATCTCTGTGGTGGGCAATTTGGCATTATATTTCAAAATTATAAATGTATATTTTTAAGAATCTTTTTTTGAAGAAATAATTGGACAAATGCAAGGTTGTTTACTACAGCATGGTTTGTAGTACTGAAAAACTTGGAGCAACCTGAATGTCAAGGGAGTTTGGCTAAAATACATTGGATATAGTCTGAAGGGAATTCCACACGGCCATTAAAGAGTGAAGCTGACCTGTATTCATTTTTTAATGAAGAGTTCTCCATTGTACGTTATTTAGTGAAAAAAGAAAACAGCAAGAATGAAATCCACTTATATAAAATTATACATAGAATTTTAGTCAAAATTTTATATATGATTATCATTTGATTAGTTTAATTACTATATTCTTTGTGCTGTCCTGTTATTTAAAATGATTATTTTATTTGATCCTTATTACAGTCTTCGGAAGACCCTTGATCTAGATTAAAGGCAAGCTACTGTATCAGAAGCTTGGCATACCTTTTGTTTTTCCTTGGGGGTTGCCCCAAGACAAGGAAGTATGCCCCTTATTTGGAGCAGGTGATTTGGGAAGTTGTAGCCCCACCCCCATGTAGCAGTGAAACTAACAGGTACTCTCTAGCCAACCAAAGATGAAATGGAAATCCATATTCTAAAACACATCTGTGCCTCTTTGTATTATTCCTGCCTCTACAGCAGTATTTCTGATAAAATATATGATATAAACCTTTACTATATCCTTTTTGCCCCAACTAAAATTAACGAAAATATGTTTTCTAATCTTGTGTAGTGCATGTCGTGATAGCTACCCCTGGGAGAATCCTGGATCTTATCAAGAAAGGAGTAGCAAAAGTTGATCATGTCCAGATGATAGTATTGGATGAGGTAATGTCTCTTCATTTGGAAATATACTATTCTGTACTACTCTGGCTTTGTTCATAACTGCCAGTTAATGAAGCATAACCTCTTTGTGTTTATGCGCTTTTATTTTATTATTATTTTTTTAATATTTGGCTGCATTGGGTCTTCGTTGCGCGCAGGCTTTCTCTAGTTGTGGCAAGCGGGGGCTACTCTTTGTTGTGGTGGGTGGGCTTCTCATTGCGGTGGCTTCTCTTGTTGCAGAACACAGGCTCTAGGCACACGGGCTTCAGTCGTTGTAGCACGCAGGCGCAGTAGTTGTGGCTTGCAGGCTCAGTAGTTGTGGCACATGGGCTTAGTTGCTCTGCGGCACGTGGCATATTCCCGGACTAGGGTTCAAACCCATGTCCCCTGCATTGGCAGGCGAATTCTTAATCACTCTGCCACCAGGGAAGTCCCTATGACCTTTTAATAAATGCATGACTCTTGTCGGTTCAAAGTAATTTGCTTATAAAACATGTTTTACCCTTTAAAAACAATAGATGATAGGAATTTATAGGACTAAATCAGCCTTGTGTCTTTTTCTTAGTAAAGCAAGGTTTTTATTTTTCAGTGAGAAGTTGTTGAATAATCTCAAAGCCAAGTTCATTCAAAGTCTCTTTCCATTCTGTGATTCATCTTAAGAAGCATGTAATGTCTCTGACCCCTCATTTAACATACAACTTTGTACTGTTTGGTTTTTCGTCCCTGTTATAATGTGTTATCTCACCAGGTTATAAGTGCCTTTTAAGAACTTATTCAGCTCTGCATCCTTAGGACCTAGCAGTGTTTTATACATATATGAAACCAGTGTTGATGTTTTTACAGTTATTTTCCTGTTTGGTCTGTGTTTTAGATTACTAGAGCAGTTTCGTCATGATCTATTCAGAAGAGGTGTTTATCTTTGAGTAATGAGAGCACATTTATTAGTTACTGCGTGCTAGCACTAAGTGCTTTATGTGTTTTTTCATTTAATTTTTGCAAGAATCCTATAAGATAGGTATCCTATAAAGTAGTTACTACAGTAAGAAGACATCTTAATTTTTAAATTGTGGAAACTGAAATAGTGGTTAAGAAACCTCCCAACATAGCTGATAAGGAGACAAGTTTTAAACCCAGGTAGTTTGACTCTGTAGCCTGTACTTTTAACCACTATACTATAATGTCTCTGTAATGGAAGTCACATTAAAATTTTGTTATGGGAACAAGGATTATATCTGTCTGGGACTTTTTTTCCTTGGAAGATGAGTATTACAGACTTTTCCCCTTCTGAATCACTGGTAATGTGTCTTGGTGCCTTTGGACTATGCAGTGTTGTAGAGGACTTACTGTTTACAACCAGGAGCATTCCATGAACTTGCTGGATGATGCCTTATTAACCAAAGACCTTAGACATTATTTCATTGTGTTTAAGATCGTCTTCTCTTTGTACTGCAGGCAGATAAGTTGCTGTCACAGGATTTTGTGCAGATAATGGAGGATATTATTCTCACGCTACCTAAAAACAGACAAATTTTATTATATTCTGCTACTTTCCCTCTTAGTGTACAGAAGTTCATGGTGAGTATAAACCTGTACTTGGAAGCAGTACTATCCTGTTGTCCATGAGTATATCTTTATCCATAATTACATCTTACTACTAGTCTGTATTACACTGATTTCAAGTTTGGGGCTTTTTCTTCAGCTGATCAATTAAGGTTTGTTGTGCATAAATTAACTGATTTTTTTAAGATACAAAAGTAATTTGATTCTTATTTGTTCACTTAGCTTTTGGTGTCAGACTGACATAGCCATTGGTTCTAGATAAATTGATTACAGCATAATTCTATAAAGTACAAAATAGTAACTTAGCTGTATATCTGAATGTTATATCTCCCATTTTATGGTAATTTACTTCTTCCATGACAGATAATAACATTTTAAAGAGGGCTCCATTCCTTAAAGTAAGAGTTTATCAGGCAGAAATGTATGAGGTTATATTCTGAGTTTAAGAAATAGACTCTGCTTTCATTTAAATATGAGACTCTTCTTTTTTTCAGAATTCCCATTTGCAGAAACCCTATGAGATTAACCTGATGGAGGAACTAACTTTGAAGGGAGTAACCCAGTACTACGCATATGTAACTGAGCGCCAAAAAGTACACTGCCTCAACACACTTTTCTCCAGGGTAAGTCTGTTAGGCTTCAGCAGCTGAATGTTGTCCATTACTACTTAACCTCAGTAAAACAAACAGTTGTATCAGTTTTCTCACCATTTTCTTTTTCTTTCTTTTTTTTTTTTTAAATATTTATTTGGCTGCGCCGGGTCTTAGTTGTGGCATGCAGGATCTTTTAAGTTGCAGCATGTGGGCTCTTTTAAGTTGCAGCATGTGGGCTCTTAGTTGCGGCATGCGGGATCTAGTTCCCTGACCAGGGATCGAACCCGGGCACCCTGCACTGGGAGCACGGAGTCTTAACCACTGGACCACCAGGGAAGTCCCTCTCAGCATTTTCAGTGTAAAAAAAATTCCTTAGTTTTTCCTAAAGGTAGTTTGAGTTGTTGATCCGAAGCTGATACTGTATGATTGTCAAGTCACAGGCACCTTCTAATTTGATTCTAAAATAATTTGACCTTAATTACAGATAATCCTCATTATTCTCAGTAATTATAATTGTTCCGTTGTAGGCAGATTCTGTTTTTGCAAATTTTCCAAAATTTCCTTGTCACCCCAAAGTCAGTACTCAGGTGCTCTTGACGTCATTTGCAGACATACGTGAAAAATTTGAGACCTCGTGCGGTTTCCCCCTGCTTTCTTGTTTCAGCTCATACTATAAATGAGCACCCTTTCCACCGTCTATTTAGTGCCACATTTCCCACATTTCTGTGCTTTTCTGTTGATTTCACTCTTTTAAATGGCCCCTAGGCATAGTGCTGAAGTGTTGTCCAGCGCTCCTAAGTACAAGAAGACTGATGTGCCTTGCAGAGATAATATATTAGATAAACTTCATAAAGGCATGAGTTACAGAACTGTGGGCCATGAGTAAATAAGGTGTCTTTAAACAGTAACACTGTTTAAACCAAATTCCTTGGTGGTCCAGTGGTTAGGACTCTGCGCCTCCACTGCAGAGGGCATGGGTTCAATCCCTGGTCAGGGAACTAGGATCCTGCAAGCTGTGTGGCAGGACCAAAAAAAATAAAACCAGTAACACACATAAAACAAGGTTATCTGTTGACCCGTTGATGAAGAAGTTAAGTGTCCCTCACAGGAACCTAACCCTGTATTTCCCCTGGAAGCAGTGGTCCTATATTCAGTAATTCAGTGTTTCCAGTAACTGTATAGAACGTAACTACCTCAAGTAATGAGAATTGGCTGTGTTTTACACCTGTTGGCAATTATGCAGCCCTTATGAAAAATACTCTGCTACAATAAAACTTACTCTACAATAAAAATTATCTTCAACTACTATGTAAATGAAACAGTACTTAAAATTTTTACAGTTTTGCATCTCTCTTGTATCATGAGATTCTAAGTCTTAGATGATATTTTCAAGATTTGGCAAAGTTAATGAAGGTTTTTGTTTTCCTTCCTTACGTCTTTTGTTTTGTTTTCCCCCTGTGCTCAGCTTCAGATAAACCAGTCGATCATTTTCTGTAACTCCTCTCAGAGAGTTGAATTGCTAGCCAAGAAGATTTCTCAACTGGGTTATTCTTGCTTCTATATCCATGCTAAAATGAGGCAGGTGAGTATAAAACTTGAACTTGTATAGATTATTTTAAAAACCTTTTTCTTAGTATTTCTTGGATTTTGTTTTAATGCTCTTCCAAATGCCGTGAGTTTAAGAATAAATTATTCCTTAGCAGGCAAAGGACCATTCATTTTAACCTCTCTGAGGTTAGGTTTTCTAACTACAAACAGGGTTAATAGTACATATTCTTACCTCACAAGGTTGTCAGGAAGATTGAGATTATGTATGAATGAGTAGTTTGTAAGTTGCCAAGCATAATAGAAATGTGAGATTTTATTCCCTTCCTTCCCCGTATTCTTAGATTTGGGCTAGTATTTAATACAGTAATCACTAGCCACAGGTGGCAATTTAAAAGAGTTAAAATTTAAATAAGTTAAAATTAAACAATATTTAAAATTTAGATTCAGTACAATCCCTGTCAAACTACCAATGGCATTTTTCACAGAACTAGAACAAAAAATTTCACAATTTGTATGGAAACACAAAAGACCCCGAATAGCCAAAGCAATCTTGAGAAAGAAAAACTGAGCTGGAGGAATCAGGCTCCCTGACTTCAGACTATACTACAAAGCTACAGTAATCAAGACAGTATGGGACTGGCACAAAAACAGAAATATAGATCAATGGAGCAGTATAGAAAGCCCACAGATAAACCCACTCACATATGGTCACCTTATCTTTGATAAAGGAGGCAAGAATATACAGTGGAGAAAAGACAGCCTCCTCAATGAGTGATGCTGGGAAAACTGGACAGCTACATGTAAAAGAATGAAATTAGAACACTTCCTAACACCGTACACAAAAATAAACTCAAAATGGATTAAAGACCTAAATGTAAGGCTAGACACTATAAAATTCTTACAGGAAAACATAGGCAGAACACTCTGACATAAATCACAGCAAGATCCTTTTTGACCCACCTCCTAGAGAAATGGAAAGAAAAATAAATAAATGGGATCTAATGAAACTTAAAAGCTTTTGCACAGCAAAGGGAACCATAAAGAAGATGAAAAGACAACCCTCAGAATGGGAGAAAATATTTGCAAACGAAGCAGCTGACAAAGGATTAATCTCCAAAATATATAAGCAGCTCATGCAGCTCAATAGCAAAAAAACATGAAAACCCAATCCAAAAATGGGCAGAAGACCTAAATAGACATTTCTCCAAAGAAGACATACAGATGGCCAAAAAGCACATGAAAAAATGCTCAATATCACTAATTATTAGAGAAATGCAAATCAAAATTACAATGAGGTATCACCTCACACCGGTCAGAATGGCCATCATCAAAAAATCTACAAACAATAAATGCTGGAGAGGGTGTGGAGAAAAGGAACTCTCTTGCACTGTTGGTGGGAATTTAAATGGATACAGCCACTATGGAGAACAGTATGGAGGTTCCTTAAGAAACTAAAAATAGAGCTACCATACAAACCAGCAATCCTACTACTGGGCATATACCGTGAGGAAACCATAATTCAAAAAGAGTCATGTACCAAACTGTTCATTGCAGCACTATTTACAGTATCCGGGAGATGGAAGCACCCTAAGTGTCCATCAGCAGGTGAATGGATAAAGAAGATGTGGCACATATATACGATGGAATATTACTCAGCCATAAAAAGAAATGGAATTGAGTTATTTGTAGTGAGGTGGATGGACTGAGAGTCTGTCATACAGAGTGAAGTAAGTCAGAAAGAGAAAAATACCATATGCTAACATATATATGGAATCTAAAAGAAAAAAAAAAAGATTCTGGAGAACCTAGAGGCAGGACAGGAATAAAGACCTAGACGTAGAGAATGGACTCTAGGACATGGGGAGGGCGAAGGGTAAGCTGAGATGAAATGAGGAAGTAGCACTGACATATACACTACCAAATGTAGCTAGTGGGAAGCAGCCGCCTAGCACAGGGAGATCAGCTTGTGCTTTGTGACCACCTAGAGGGGTGGGATAGGGAGGGTGGGAGGGAGATGCAAGAGGGAGGGGATATGTAAAGCAATTATACTCCAATAAAGATGTTAAAAAAATAAAATTTAGTTCTTCAGTCGTACCACGTTTGAAGTGCTGTATTACATGTGACTAGCAGTCACAGTTTTGGAAAGTACAGATACAGAACATTTCCATCATTGCAGAAGGTTCTGATTTTTCTGTGTACCTCCTCAGGTACATCTGTTTTTACTATTTGCCTTTAGAAAAGGATGCAATCTATATTTCAGAACTTAATTCAACAGAAAATAAATTCAAAACTATCACAAGACAACATTTTGTGTTTGTGCTGACGTTGTGAAATTTCATAAGAAAGCAGTTTCTGTAGGCTAACGGGTTAAGAACTTAATCAACTCACATATGGTTTTCAAAGAAGCTTAGTGTCATGGATCAGATACCTTCATGTAGGCCCCTAATATTAAAATTGTCACAGGAAATGAATGTATTAAGTTGAAGAGAATATTTCAGAATGGAAGAACATTGTGTTGAAAAAAAAGACCAGTTTACCAGATGCTAGATTTATTGCTTTTGCTAGAGTCAGTGTATGTTTTCATTTTTGTTTTTTAATTGGAAAGTAGTTATTTTTAGCTTTTGTATATAATAACTGAAAAGGTAAATAGTAGATGTTTTGGTCAAGCCAAAAAACTTTTGGCATCTTTTGTTTGAAATATTTTAGAAGTATGGTGAAAATTATCACTAAAAATCCACTCCAAAAAAGAAAAATACCTTTTTTTTTTTTTTTTTTTTTTGCGGTACGCGGGCCTCTCACTGTTGTGGCCTCTCCGGTTGCGGAGCACAGGCTCCGGACGCACAGGCTCAGCGGCCATGGCTCATGGGCCCAGCCGCTCTGCAGCATGTGGGATCCTTCCGGACCGGGGCATGAACCCGCATCCCCTGCATCGGCAGGTGGACTCTCAACCACTGCGCCACCAGGGAAGCCCGAAAAATACCTTTAAGAATTGAGATAATAAGCAACATATACATATGTATTCATATTTATTCCCATGGGAAACTAATCTATGGTTAATTATTTTCACCTTTTGTTTTTAATTTATGTGTATTGAATTTGGCTCCTTTCTCATTCATGTAAAAAATAATTTGGGTATAAAGAACTTTGGGTAGGAGAAAAAAATCATGGCAGTTTGGGGGCTTGTGTGAGTTTTAATCAAATCAAATGCATTACTTTGTTCCTAGGAACATCGGAATCGTGTATTTCATGATTTCCGAAATGGCTTATGCCGCAATCTTGTTTGCACTGGTAAGTATTTTGTTTCGTTTACACAGTTTTGTGTTGTTTTTGTTTTGTTTTGTTTTTTGCGGTACGCGGGCCTCTCACTGTTGTGGCCTCTGCCATCGCGGAGCACAGGCTCCGGACGCGCAGGCTCAGCGGCCATGGCTCACGGGCCCAGCCGCTCCGCGGCATGTGGGATCTTCCCAGACCGGGGCACAAACCCGTGTCCCCTGCATCGGCAGGCGGACTCTCAACCACTGCGCCACCAGGGAAGCCCCCTACTTGTATTTTTCAAAGTCTTAATTAGCATAATAATTGTGGGACTAGAAAAGAATTAGAAGGGATCGCCTTGCATATTAGCTTACCTCAGGCCTGTTATAAATCATTTAGCAGAAGGGGATGAATGAATTCTAAACAAAGCATAAATAATTACTGCTAGAGGATTATGTCTTTTTAGAAATATTCTACGTTACACAACAAAATTTTTAAAAATAACTTTCTCTGTTAACCTTGGATTAAATACTCAAAAATAGACTGAAGAAAATTATACTCCTGAGACTCATTTATGAGTATATAGCTTATCAGTCATCCTTGATTTGCACAGTCACCTTAGACCATTTTTTTAAAACTTTGTTACAGGACTGGGAAAAGGTAACTTGTTGAGCAGAAAGCTGCTTATGGTAATGTGCATGACAGATAATGCCAGTAATTTGCAAATGCTTTTGAATTACTGATGAAGTGAATGAAGCTTAGATTACATTAGAAATATATGTTAAAGAGTATAATGACACCAAATTGAAGGATATAATGGAGTTTTGTGTTTTTGGTTTTTTTTTTAAGATTTGTTTACCCGAGGTATTGATATACAAGCTGTGAATGTGGTAATAAACTTTGACTTCCCAAAGCTGGCAGAGACCTATCTCCATCGTATTGGAAGATCAGGTGAGGAAAAGGAAGGAGATGTTCTTTGTGGACGTTGTTTGAGAAGTTTAATCACTAAATTTTGTTCCTTTGTAGAGTGTGGTAGCAGTTAGAACAGTGAATTAAAACTAATTTAGTTGTTTGATATATCAAATTAATTTCCAACTCTTCCAGAACACTTATTTTAAAAAGTTAAAATAACTTTATGCTTAATTTAAGATTCACAAATGAGAAGCTCACTTCTCTAACTGTACTGTTTAGTATGTATATTCTGGCAATTTTTGACAGAAATGAGCACCCATTTTTTCATTTGACAAAGGTAAGATAGCAGTGCTACTTGAGGCTGTGAAACCTGACGTTGTAGCGTGTGTGTGAGTTCATATACTCAGAAGGGCACTGAACCAAAACATACATCCTGTATGGATTTGCCACTTATAGACTAGTACTTGCACATTGATTCCCATGTTTAACTGTTTCATTAATTAAAATTGGTTTTTGTTAGGTCGCTTTGGTCATCTTGGCTTAGCCATCAACTTGATCACATATGATGATCGCTTCAACCTGAAAAGTATTGAGGAGCAGCTGGGAACAGAAATCAAACCTATCCCAAGTAACATTGACAAGAGCCTGTATGTGGCAGAATACCACAGCGAGCCTGTAGAAGATGAGAAACCTTAACAAGCATGTGTGTACCCGACAAAATAGCAAAGTGAGCATAATGTTTAAAAAAAAGAAATCAAGGTCCTCTTTCCTGGGGGAAATTTGATGTTCCACGATAATAATTAGCAGTAAAGGATGAAATACCTCTTGGCATAAATGACAGTAAACAGGAAGTATCTTGAAGTTGTAGTTGTGATCTTATTGGCGAATCCATAAATGCAGTTCACTTGAATATAGTCTTCCTAAGTAATGTAGTACGTGAGCAGTACTTAAGACAAATTCAGACTTCTAAAATAATGGAAACAAAAAAGAATCTTAGCGATTTTGAATATGAAAATATTTTTGCTCTTTATCACTCGGTCGTCTCTGTTAGTGTTCACTCTTAATTTCTAATGGGAACCTTAATAAATTATGTTAAATTACCTGTAAAATTTTATTGCTAAAGGTGTAATCAGGTTATGATGATAACTGTCTTATTTTAAATGCCCACTCTGGTTTCCTGCAGATGGTTTCTCATCTTTTGGTGACTGTTGGGCTCTGGTAGAAATGCTTAAAACAAGGCTTAACACAGGGAAAAACCCCTAAAACAGCCTACATTCCTCTAAGGAAACTCTGATTTAATTTGAGAGCTGATAGTTTTCAAATCAGCAGTGAACATTCTACCTGTTACTATTTTTAGGTTTTTCAAGTTACTCTCTTCACTTTAACCTTTTTATCCTAATTTAAATGTCAAACACAAAACCCTTGGACAAATGTAAAACTAGCCCATGTTTGCTAATACATTGGCAGGCTGTTGAGTTCATGTACGGTTTAAAAAAAAAATTTTTTTTTTTTTTAATTGTCATAGAGACTGCTGCCTGTTACCAGAACTTTCAGGGTTTCATTCTGTCTCTGGGATGCATAGCAGAAATTCCTTAATCCTGAGTGAATTCTATAGTAGGCAGACAGGCTCAGAAGAAGCTGTTATAGAGAGCAGTGGGATGGGGATTGTGAACACCTGTGTATCCTAGTTCATATTGCTTTCATGGCATTAATTTTAGGCTTCTTTTTTCTTTAGGTTTTGACAAACTACAGAAGGCTCGTTTGGATCTGTGACACATCGATTTTGGGGGGATGCTCTTCTCTTTGTGGGTTTTTCATCTTCTTTTATTTTGGAACTATGAAGACTTAAAAGAGCTCAGACATTTTTTCTTTTAATTGGTGAAGAGAAAAAAAGCTAAAAAGGAATTTACCTTTTTTGTTCCACTTGTTTGCACTGTGTGCTGACTGAACATTAGTTGCACTAACTGCTGGTTTTTTAAAAATGTTTTCTGGGGAAGGGGGACAAGGAAGGAGGAGAAAGAAGAGAAGGGGAGAAACCCTAAAAAGAGAAGAATCTTGATGAACACAAGCTTGTCTGCGATTTCAAAATTCTCCAACAGCTGACTCTTGAGTGCATTTCAACTTCTCCCTGGTTACTCATCCGTTTTTTAAGCCTGAAGAGCTTATTACTTATTTGTGCAAAGTGCCTTATGCTATGAGACCATTCAGAATATCATCTTTTAGACACAGCCCAAGGAATCAACAGTAGTATTGTTTTTTTTCTTTTTTCATTCTTTTTAAAATTTTTGTCTTTCCGTTTTGGTTTCAAGTTGAAGTCTCTCTCTTCCCTTTCTACCCGATACTCAAGCCCAGGGCTGGAAGATGAAACGTATTAGTAATGTTAAACACCATTTTCTTTTTCTTTATGTGGAGGAGTTGATATGCAACTGCAGTTCATCCGCACTGTAAATACATGTATTTAAAAAAAAAAAACAATCCCAAGTAAAAATTTCTTCTGGGCTGAGTAGATGCAACATCATCGCTCCCAAAGGAAAGAGCAGTCTATCATTGCAGGAGCCATATGACAAGCCTTTTGTGCTCTATAGCAGAACACTAAAGACTGGTTTACATACACCTCCATTAGCAGTTATGGCACTTGATGTGTAGACATGTCAGAGCCTTTGACCCTCTTTCCTCTGTGGCAAAGCGTGTCCCATAGAAAATTGGGTGTGTATACTTGTATAAACTTTGTAAATAGGTTTTTTTCTGGGTTCATATATATATATACATATATATATATATATATATTTTTTTTTTTTTTTGGATGAAGGTTGCTGGGATTAAGGGGATTAGATTGATTATGGGAGCAGCTAAAGATGAGAGGGGCTCAGTTTTCCGCAACACTAAATTCTAAAAAAGTACTTTGGCTTCTTACTGTAGAGAACAGACCTCTACAGGGACATCCTCTGTTGGAAAAGGGACCCAGAAGTCTGGGATCACTGCTGCCACACTTTGTCTCATATAGTACCTTTGGAGGAGGCCTGACAGAGAGAGCAAGGAAGCTTCAGAAACCTGTAATTCAAGATGTTATTTTTGAGACACTCTCTCTGATAATGTTTCTTCCCCCCTTTTTAAAAGTTTGAGAAACTTTTCAAGCTCAGCAAAAGGGGACAAAGACTAATTTGCCTTGCAGTGTGGCAGTTTGATTGAGTGGCAGTTTCTTTGAGCAGTATATGTATAAAGCATGGATTTGCATTTCAGAATATTAGCCAGTACCAGCTGTGGTGACATTAGCAGTTCTGGGGCTTACTTTCTGTGGATCTTCTCCTGTACTGTGTAAGTGTATTGCCCTCTGCCCACCTTGATACATAAACTTGCAGGAATGGGCAACCCCTGAGAGCTGTTAACCTTGATGCTACAGAAAGCTGCTTGCCATCCTCTTGCTTTGTGACAAGAATTATCTGTCATTTTGCATTGTAAATTGCTGGCAAACGCGTTACAGTCAATAGTGTTGCTTTAAATTGTGCCCCTCCCAACATGCTTGATGTTTGGCCTGATCTCCAGGCAAAAGGAGTGAGATGAAGCAAAACCAGTGAACTTTTTTTTTAATGTTTTTAATTCCCTTTTAACCCAGTGTACTAGGTCAATTAGGAGGCATCTAGGATTTTTTTTTAAAAAAAAGGAAAAAATAAAATTAAAAAAATTTGATTTCCATATGCCACTGTTTTCCAAAACCCTAAAATATTGCAAGATGTGTCCTTCATAAACTTTCATGCTTAACTCATCTGGAAAAAGAAATCAGTTATTCAGAGTTGCTTTTTGACTCTGCCTAGTTCTAAGCAAAATTGTGACACCCAGAATTCCTTGAGGATCAAAATCCTGCAGATGCCTCCTGATCAGACATAGCCCTAACTCCTTAAAAACTGTAGCAAGAGCTGCACAGTACAAACCCCAAAAAGAAGAACTCATTTATCTGGTAGCCAAGCCACATGTGTCTATCCAGCCAATGTTGGTTACTAAATACAAGGCCTACTTAAGGAAGTAACCTTTTTCCGGGGAGGGGTGGGGGGAGGGAATTTAAAAGGCATCAACTTTTGACCAAAAATCTTGCCCTTGTACTGATGCAGCTCTCTCTTTCTCCCCCACCTCTGGCGAGATAAGAGGAATCATTCATTATAGAAGAAAAACAAGGAATGCTCATAAATGAAGTTTTGTGTCTCGCTAGAGTGTGGGTGACTAAGCAGCGCGGTCTTGTTTGCCATCAGACTGTGCTCTGCCTGGTGCCACGTGCCTGTGGGTCCCTCTAAAAGCACAGACTTTAAATTGAAAGTATTACTGAAGTACAGCCTCTGATGAGGAGTGGCACTTAAAACTATCTGGGACACCACTATTGGACACAGTCTTGTAGAGGCAGCTGTCCAGTTTTGGTGCTTGTCTCTTGAATAGGAATTGTTAAATGGAAAGATGCTCAAAGGACTAGGTCAAAGCCTAGTCTCTTTTTTTTTTTTTTTTTTAATCGCCCTTACAATAAGGAGCATTGTTACTATTGGAAGTTGTTTTTGTGTTCCTTGCAGATTGGGTGTTTAAGTAATGATAATATTTTTCCACTGGTTCATTTGGATGAAAACTGTTTGCCCAATTTTTAATATTTAAATTACATTCAGCACCTGGTTTAACCAGTGGTTATATAGTTGTGTAATGGTTTGTGGACTGTTACATAGCTGGCTGCCTCTGTCCTTCTCTTTTCCTTACATTCCGATGGAGAAACTTTCTTGCCTTTTCTCTTAGTAATGGAATGGAATAAATTTATTCTAAAATGATCTTCCATGGGAAGAAGGGAGAGAGAAACCTAAATATAATCTCTAAATTATTTTCAAGTTGGTCCCAGCATCATAATATGGGTTGGCCCCAAAGACTGGGGGGAGGGGGGAGGCAACTGGTTATCAATATTTGTTTTCAGAATGAGATGGGAGCATCTTTCCTTTGCCATGTGCTTTGTGTTAGAGACCATCATGCTTGGGTTAGAACCAGATAACCCAGCACAAAGCCTTGAGTGTAAATTGTTGGAATCAAAACATCTCATTCTGATAACTTGATTTTTTTTTTTAAATAGGGGTGGGAGGGAGGTTACTTTGCCCCAAAAGGGAGGGTATCTGCACTAAGGATTTAGAAACACTTTGGAAGCTCATAACCTCATCAGTAACTGCCTTTAGTCACACTCCTGACCTTATAGATGAGTAACAAAAAGATGGGAATTAAGCCATGTTATTTTAATTTGCTCCTTTTTCAACGTTCTGTGTCTCTTAAGCTGTTATTGTGGAATCATTTTCTGGCAAAATAACCTTTGTCAAGCAAAATTATTGGCCTTGTGGGAGCTGACGTCAGTCAACTTTGGTGAATTTAAGTGGACTTTGGTGAGCTTATAGTGGTACTTTATATCCTTAAAGGTAGTTTTTTAAAACTTCCAAAGAAAACCCACTCTCCTTTCTGATCTAAAAACTCATCTTTGGGGTAAAGAGTTCAGTGTCCAAAGGTTGTAACAGTTCATGAGGTAAGAGGGCGCTAGCCTGGCAACTGGATTCTGCCCCTCTGTAGCTGACAGATTCCAACAGAAGTGTGTTTAAATTCTCCAGTAGACAATACTGGGCGGGGGGGAGGGAGGGGTAGGGTTGGGTTGCTAAGGTACAGGCTGCTGTACTTTACCCAGTGGTTGTGAGGGAGGGTCCCTGGAGAAAACCAAGTTGCTAGTCCCTTTTTTGAAACAAAATTAAAACTTGAAAAAAATGTTTAGTACAAAATGGGATAGAATTTAATGTCCCTAGCCACAAGGGACCAGTTCCACTGAGAAGTGAACAGTGGGGACTCAATTTTGAAAACATTTGGGGAAAGGGAAAATTGGCTTTCTGTTAATTGGCAAATGTTCCAGTGGGGCTGTTTTTGTTGGAATGTGTTATGTTGTATGTACACATATATGGACCAGAGTGTCTGCTGAGTTTATAAAGTTAAAAGCTGGTTGATAAAATCTTGATTTTTGTTACTTTATCACAATAAAAGCCCACTGGAACTTCAGATGTGTGTGTGGTGTGTCTTTAGCATCAGGCTGTGCGGTTTAGGAATACTTGCCTTTGAAATAATTTTTACTTAAATAACTCACATTCTGGTAAAGCAGTAAGATTCTCAGCACTACTCCTCTGAATAAATTATGTGAGCACCTTTGTCCAGCCTTATTCATTGTCCCACCGTTTGCATTTCACTCTGTTTTCATAGCCTAAACACAACAGATAATCAGTTGGAAAGGAGAGAGATGTTGGTCCACAGTATGCCCGGGGGACTGCTAGTAGTCAGTCACCTCCTAGAATTGTTAAGGTATTTTAGAAAGTTGAACAGAAATTACTTAGGAATTAACGATATGAATGGAATTTGTATTCTGAGACTGAGAAATACTAATGAAAGAAATCAGAAGACCTAAATAATTGGAGAAATCCAGACACGAAGCTGGACACAGCATCCTCGCCCCCCACCCCAAAAGAAATACTTCAGTATAACAAAATAATGTTCCAGACATGTATGCTGAAAACTGCAAAATCGCTGATGAAAGAAAGAAGGCCTGAAGACATAGTCTTCCAATCCATGAATATGACACCTCTATTTTTGTCAGTTCCCCAGTTTCATCTGTAGGTTCAGAGTATTTCCTTCCAGTCCCAGCAAGCTTTTTGACAAGATAGCCACAAGATAATTCTAAAATTCATATGGAAAGGCAAGCCGCCATAACAGTTTTGGAAAAGAACAAAATTGGAGGACTCATTACCTGATTTCAAAATACAGGAAGCTACAGCAGTCGAGAAATTTGTAAATTCAGTTCTTTCACTACAATACACTGAAGAAATGTAGGGAGACATGCCATCAACTTTTTCATCTAAGGAGCAAAGAATGGATGTGTACAGTCTGGCCGAAGATCAATTTTTCTTGTAGATGCTGTGTGGGCAGTTTGTTCCTAGTTCAATAGGTGCATTTCCATTATCCTGTTAATCTAATCGCGGAACAGCGTACGGCTATCTCTCTGCCTCTGGATTTGTCCCACCCTCCCTCACTTTACTGTCTCCAGAGATTGACCTGTATGAACCACATAAATATTTCCTCTGCTCTCCGGCTCCCATCTGGGTTTGCTCACCAGGGATTCCCCCTCAGGAAATTAGAAAAAGTGAGGTACGAGTTTGTATGCCTTTAATTCCCTTCCCGTAAGATGCCTCCAGCTGTTTTGTTTCTCAACTGGAGATCTCTGCAGCTGAGTCTGTCACTCTCTCCCTCCATTTTCTGGTAACCATCCTCTCCCCTTGATAGATTTTCCCTACACCCATGCTTTTGTAAATAGGCCAGATGTAAATAAACTCTCCTCAAATTTTCCTATGCCATCTGTTTCTTGTTGGGACCCAGACAGAGTAATTGGTACCAGAAGTGGCCCCAGGAAACAGACTCTTAAAATGAGATTCTGGGATTGGGTTAGTTATATTTGATGAGCTCAATGATAACCTCCTTATGGGGGTTGGTGGGTGGGATGGAACATGAATAATTCATGGTATACAGTGGCATCACAATTCAAATTTTCACTGGTAGTACCACGGGATTAAGTGCAGGTAAAGGACGAGGCATAGGGAAATCAAGGGGCTGTGACAATCAGCAATAAAACAACCTACGGACTGGGAGAAAATATTTGCAAATGATATGACCGACAAGGGATTAATTTCCAAAATATACAAACAGCTCATACAACAGAAAAACAACCCTATCAAAAAGTGGGCAGATAGAGAAAAAAAAAAAGAGAAAAAGTGGACAGATTGGGGCTTCCCTGGTGGCGCAGTGGTTGAGAGTCCGCCTGCCGATGCAGGGGACACGGGTTCGTGCCCCGGTCCAGGAGGATCCCACATGCCGCGGAGCGGCTGGGCCGGTGAGCCATGGCCGCTGAGCCTGCGCGTCCGGAACCTGTGCTCCGCAACGGGAGAGGCCACAGCAGTGAGAGGCCCGCGTACCGCAAAAAGAAAAAAAAAAAGTGGGTAGATGATCTAAATACTTCTCCAAAGAAGACATACAGATGGCCAAAAGGCACATGAAAAAATGCTCAATATCACTAATTATTAGAGAAATGCAAATCAAAATTACAATGAGGTATCACCTCACTCCGGTCAGAATGGCCACCATCAAAAAGTCTACAAATAATAAATGCTGGAGAGGGTGTGGAGAAAGAGGAACCCTCCTACACTGTTGGTGCGAGTGTAAATTGGTGCAGCCACTATGGAGAACAGTATGGAGTTTCCTTAAAAAACAAAAATAGAGTTACCATATGATCCTGCAACCCCACTCCTGGGCATATATCTGGAGAAAACTATAATTAGAAAAGATACATGCACCCCTATGTTCATAGCAGCACTAGTTATGATAGCCAAGACACAGAAGCAACCTAAATGTCCATCAACAGATGAATGGATAAAGATGTGATACATATATACAATGGAATACTACTCAGCCATAAAAAAGAATGAAATAATGCCATTTGCAGCTACATGGAAGGACCTAGAGATGATCATACTAAGTGAAGTAAGCCAGACAAAGACAAATATCATACGATATGCTTATATGCAGAATCTAAAAAAAAGAGATAAAAATGAACTTATTTACAAAACAGAAATAGACCCACAGACATAGAAAACAAATGTATGGTTACCAAAGGGGAAAAGTGGGGAGGATGGGATTAACATATACTCACTACGGTATATAAAATAGATAACAAACAAGGACCTACTGTATAGCACTGGGAACTATACTCAATATTCTGTAATAACCTATAAGGGAAAAGAGTCTGGAAGAGTATATCTATCTATATATCTATATCTATAGATATATATATCACTGAATCACTGTGCTGTATACCTGAAACACAACATCATAAATCAACTTTACTTCAATAAAAAAAATAACTTCCTTGTACCTTTCGTCCACCAACCACACACACACATAAAAGTGGTAGGCCTTTTAAAACTTATTCTTTGGCACAGGGTAAAAAAAAAAAAAGAAAAGGCCTCAATTGCATACATAAGATTAAAAATATGAACATGCAATTAACATACAAACAGAACAAGAAGGCCTCCACGGGAGTTTTGAAGAGGGTCCCTTATCTGTAGCTTTGTCCTTAGCTAATTGGTTACTGTGTCCCTAGGACTGAAATAGATGGCAGCCTTCTAAAGTTTTACTTGATTTGTATACACAGAAAATCTCTGGATCTGATGAACAGAATTCTGACTTGAGCCAGTCTGTTGATATCTGAAGTTTCCAGGTGTGAGACAGCTGACACAGAGCCTCTTGAATAAAAACGAAGCCTTCCTCAAAAGGACTTGTGACCATTTGCTAGTGTGACTATATATTGGGGAAGAGGGAATAACTAGACTTTTGAGGACTACTGGGGGCCCAAAATGCTACAGGTCAGAGTAAAGGCTTATGGAGGTCAAGTGATCCATGGAGTTTTGGCTTGGGTCCGTATCACAGTTGACATATTAGGTCCCCAAACCCAGGTCTAGATTGCGTAGTGGGAATTGACATCCTCAGCAACAGGCAAAATCACCAAATTAGTTCCCTGACCCATGGAATAATATTATGGTAGAAAATGCTATGTAGAAGCCGCTAGAACTGCCTCTAACTACCAAAGTAGTGAACAAAACCCAATACCACGTTCCTGAAGAGACTGCAGAGACTAGTTCCACCAATGAAGATTTAAAAGATGCAAGACTGGTGGTTTATAGGCCTTCCCTGGTGGTCCAGGGGGTGAGACTCCATGCTCCCAATGCAGGGGGCCCAGGTTCGATCCCGCATCTAGTCAGAGAACTAGATCCCACACGCATGCCACAACTAAGTTCGCCTGCTGCAACTAAGACCCGGCGCAGCCAAAATAAATAAATAAATATTAAAAAAAAAAAAAAAAGATTGGTGGTTTCTACTACATCTTCCTTCAACACACATATCTGGTTTGTGCAGGAGACAAATGGATTGTGGGAAATGACAGTGGATTATCATAAACTTAAGTGATGATACCAGTTGCAACTGCTGTTCCAGATGTGTGTGTTTTCTGCTGGAACAAATCAGCACATTCCCTGCCACCTGGTATAAAGCTACTGATATAGTGAACACTTTCTTTCTCTAGACCTGATAGTAAAGACTGTATGAAATAGTTGGTTTTCAGCAGGCAGGACCAGCAACACACTTCATTGGTCTGTGTCAGGGCTCTGTTACCTCTCTAGCTGGTCTACAGAGACGGATCATCACTGAATTCTACAGGCTATCATCACGCTGGCCCACTACATTATAGCAGGATACGGCATCTACCTGGGATACTTTGGTAAAATTCAAGCATGCCAGAGGACAGGAAATAGATTCCACCAAAAAATCATGGACCTGCCCGCCCCGGTGAAATCCTAGGGGTCCAATAAACTGGGGCATGTTGCAATATCCCTTTCTAGGTAAAGGGCAGATTGCCACATCTGGTTCTTTCTACCACTAAGAAAGAGATACAATGCCTAGTGGGCCTCTTTGCATTTTGAAGGCAATATATACTTTATTTGGGTGTATTACTTCAAGTCGTTTGCTGAGAAATCTGAATTTTTGTCTTTTTTAACAATGGCCCAGAACAAGAGAAGGCCCTGCAGCAGGTCCACGCTGCAGTACAGTTTGCTCTGACACTGGGGCCTTACGATCCAGCAGATCCAATGATCTCAAAGTGTCTGTGGCAGATAGACTTGTACAGAGCTTTTGGCAGCCTCCTGTAGGTGAATGACAGCACAGACGTTTAGGATTTTGAGAAAAGCTATGCTATCTTCTGCAGAAAACTATTCCCCTTTTGAAGAACAGCTTCTGTGGACTTCCCTGGTGGCACAGTGGTTAAGAAGCCACCTGCCAATGCAGGGGACACAGGTTCAATCCCTGGTCCGGGAAGATCCCTCATGCCGCGGAGCAACTAAGCCCATGTGCCACGACTACTGAGCCTGCACTCTAGAGTCCGCATGCCACAGCTACTGAGCCCGCGT